GAGCACCCTCATATTAATTGTAGGACCTATAGAACATTCTGCAGAAAGTCCCTGGAGGACACAGGATCAGGCCACTACAAATGGGATGATTCTGGTAATGGCAGCATCCCTAGAAGGCCATGAGGAGTAACTTTGAAGGCAAGGCAGCATTGTTCCTTTAGCAATCTATTTGTTTTTTCTTTTACAACTTTTAAGAAGAAATTACAAACAAAGTTTCATTAAAATTCATTTAAAGTTTCATTTTTCTGGCATCCTAATGAAAAGGATCAGAAAATGTGTGTGTGTGTTAATCTTGTTTAGTCCATGCTTGTGGACAGAAATGTAAGTTCTTGATAAAATTGCTAATTGTTTAATCTCCATGATAACTATACCAGATGGAAATGAACCTTGCTATTGGGTTTCTAACTCCTGATTACACATTAAATAATATAGAGGAAATATTGTGCAGAGGAAATGTCTCCAATAACATTGGCTGCAACTAAGCATGACTGCTGAAATGTAGCAACACCTGTGCAATCACACACAGAGCAGAAAGAAGAAGAAAAGGAACAACACACCACATCACAGGAAATGACTTCTTCTGCATTATGCTATGTCATTCTTCAAACACTTTTTTGGCAGCAAAGTACTACTAAATGAAACTTTAAAATAAATCATGCAAATAAACTAACCAGTAAAGCTGGTTTTTAAAGATTAACTTTCCAAAATACGTCTTGCAGTGTATCATAGTTTATTTCAAGAAACCAAGAATTTCTTAAATACTCAAGACGGAGGAATGACCTGATACCAGTCTTCAAATATGTTAAAGGCTGTTATAAGGAGGTTGGTGATCAACTGTTCTCCATGTCCACTGTTCTCCATGTCTGCAGCGAGGGAGAGTTAGGTTAGATATTAGGAAAATCTAACTTTAAGGGTAATTAATCTCTGGAATAGGCTTCCAAGGGAGGTTGTGGAATCCCCATCATTGGAGGTTTTTAAGAATAGCTTGGACATACGCCTCACAGGGATGGTCCAGGTTTACTTGGTTCTGCCTCAACTCAGGGGGCTAGACTTAATGATATTTCAAGGTCTCTTCTAGTCCTACATTTCTATGATTCTATCAAGCATGTAGTAAAATATCCCAGATGAAGATATTATTTGTAAAAGACTAACCCATTATGCAGTGTGGGAAAGTTATTCCTTTGTGGATAATTATTGTGCTTTTTTGGAGCCTGGAACTTCTGTCTTTGCTTTGGCATCTCAGAAGACAAAAATCTAAAGGACTGATCCTGCAAAATACTGAACACTTCACATAATCAGGACTCCCATGAAAAGAAGGCTATGAAGTCAACTATAAATTATTACCTTTTCAGCAGCCAATCATCATCCAAGGTCCTCCCAGGATTTGTAATTATGCTTGGGTTGTTCACCTCTGAGAATGTTTGGCTGGTTAGAATAGCTTTCCTCTTACCACTTTGGTAAAGGGAAGTCATGGCTCACACCAATCTATTAGAATTCTTTGAGGGTATCAACAAGAATGTGGATAAGGGTGATCCAGTCAATACAGGTTACTTGGATTTTCAGAAAAATCTTTGCCAAGGTACCTAATGAAAAGCTCTAAACAAAGTAGTCATGGGATAACAGAGAAGGTCCTCTCATGGATCAGTAACTGGTTAAGAGATCAGAAACAAAGGGTAGGAATAAATGGTCTGTTTTTAAAATGGAGAGCAGAAAGAAAACAGGGTCCTCCAAGGATCTGTACTGGAACCTGTCCTGTTCAATATATTCATTAATTATCTGGAAAAGGGAGTGAACAGTGAAGTGGCAAAGTTTGCAGATAATCCAAAATTATTCAAGACAGTTAAGTCCAAAGCTGACTGTGAAGTTTCAGAGGGATTTCACAAAACTGGGTGACAGAGCAAGAAAAGGCAGATGAAATTCAACATGGATAAATGCAAAGTAATGCACACTGGAAAAAATAATCCCAAATACGTATATATTATGATGGGTTCTAAACTAGTTGTTACCATTCAAGAAAGAGATCTTGAAGTCATGAATAGTTCTCTGAAAACTTCAGCTCAATGCACAGCCGCAGTCAAAAAGGCGAACAATGTTAGGTACTATTAGGAAAGGGCTAGAAAATAAGAGAAAATATCAAAGCCACTATATAAATTCATGGGGCACCCACACCTTGAATACTGTGTCCAGTTCTGGTCACCCCATCTCTAAAAAAGATATAGTAGAACTGGATAAGGTTCAGAGAATAGCAACAAAGATGATCAAGGATATTGAATGGCTTTCCATATGAGGAGACACTAAAAAGTTTAGGGCTGTTCAGATTAGAAAACAGATGATCAAGTGGAGATATGACAGAGGGAGACCTATAAAATCATGAATAGTTTGGAAGAAGTAAATAGAGATGTGTTATTTACCCTTTTCCACAATACAAAAGACAGGTGACACCTGATGAAATTAGTAGGCATCCAGTTTAATACATACAAGAAGAAATACTTTTTCACACAATGCACAATTTACCTGAGAATTTACCTCATTGTCATTGAACATTGTGATGGCCTGGGTTCAAAAAAAGAACTAGATAAGTTCATGGAGGATAGGTCTTTCAATGTCTATTAGCCAAGATGGTCAGGGATATAACCCTATGCTCTAAACCTTTGACTGGCAGAAGCCAGGAGGAGAAGATGGGTGGATCTCTCCAAAATTGCCCTGTTATCTACATTCCTCTGGAAGCTTTGTTACTGGCCACTGCCAGAGCGTAGATACTGGGTTAGATGGACCATTGCTCTGACTCAGTAGGGCAGTTCTTTTGTTCTTATGATATTTGTAAATCAGCAGATCCAGATAACTTGCATTCAAGAGTTTTAGCAGAGCTGGCTAAGGAGCTCGCTAGACTGTTGATGTTGATTTTCAATAAGTCTTGGAGCACTGAAGAAGATCCAGAAGACTGGAAGAAAGCTAAAGTCACGCCAATTTTTAAAAAGGGTAAATGGGATGATCTGGGTAATTATAGGTCTGTCAGCCTGACATTAATCTCAGGCAAGAAAATAGAGCAGTTGACATGGGACTTGATTAACAAAGAATTAAAGAAGGATAATGTAATTAATGCAAATCAACATGGGCTTATGGGCAACAGAGCCTGTCAAACTAACTTAATGTCTGTTTTTTTTTAAAATGAGATTACAAGTTTGGCTGATAACGGGAGTAGAGCTGATGTGATATACTTTGACTTGGTACAGCATGATACTGACTAAAAACTAGAACAATATAAAAGTAACATGGAACACATTAAATGGATTAAAAGTTGGCTAACAGATAGGTCTCAAAACAGAATTGTAGATTGGGAATTATCAAGTGGATGTGTTTTGGAGGGTTCCGCAGAGATCAGTTCATGGCCCCATGCTGTTTAACATTTTTATTAATGACTTGGAAGAAAACAAAATCGACACTGATAAAGTTTGCAGATGACAGAAATGGTGAGAGTGGTAAATAAGGAAGAGGGCAGGTCACTGATTCAGAGTGTTCTGGATCTCTTGGTAAACTGGGAGCCAGAAAACAACATGCATTTTAATATGGCTAAACCCCCCATATAATCAAGGAAGCAAAGAATGTAGGCTATACTTTCAGGATGGGGAACTCTATCCTGGGAAACAGTGACTCTGAAAAGATTTGGGGGTCATGGTGGATAATCAGCTGACCATGAACTCTGAGTGTGACACAGTGGAAAAAGGGCTATTGCAATCCTGGAATGCATAAACAGGGGAATCTCAAATAGGAATAGAGAGGATATTTTACTTCTATACTTGGCACTGATGTGACTTTTGCTGGAATTGTGTGTCCATTTCTGGTGCCCACAATTTTTAAGAAGAATGTTGATAACTTTGAGAAGGTTCAGAGAAGAGCCATGAGAATTATTAAAGGCTTAGAAAACATGCCTTATAGTGATGGACTCAAAGAGCTCAATCTATTTAGCTTAACAAAGGGAAGGTTAAGGGGTGACTTGATTACAGTCTCTAAGTGTCCACAGGGAGAACAAATATTTTCAAATGGGCACTCCGATCTGGCAGAGAAAGGTATAACATGATTCAATGGCTGGAAGTTGAAGTTAGACAAATTCAGATCAGAAATAAGGCATACATTTTTAACAGAGAGAGTAATTAACCATTGGAATAATTTCTCCATCACTGAATTTTTAAATCAAGATTTAATTTTCTTTAAATAAATGTTCTCTAGAAATTATTTTGGGGAAGTTTTAGTCCTTCTTTTATACAAGAGGTCAGACTAGAAAATCACAATGGTCTCTTCTGGCCTTAGAATCTATGTACCTATGATATTTTCCTAGTAAGATATAAAACCAGGACCTTTTAATTCTCTTGTTGCTCAGAATCATGCCCTCTCTCCCACGACCTTTCTCTGGCTTCCTTCCTTTGTGTACATCATTTTCAAGTGTTTTGCTTGGAGCCTTGGAGCTGAGGACAAACTTCAATCTTTGCACATCTCTGCTCTCATTGCTTCCTAATTGTTTTCCTACTCTCCGTGTTGCTCTTAGTCTTCTGCATAACTACTTCCTATGCTGTCTTGTCTCAGGCCATACCGTAAAACAGCATTCTGTTTCTTCTGTGCCATACACCTTCACTTCCCTGGTCCACTTTCAAATTTACTTATTTAAAAAAAAAAAACAACCACCCCAAAAAACAAACCAAACAAACAAAAACCCTTTTCACCTCAGGTCTCCTTGCTGATCAAAATACAGGCTTCTTGTGCTTAACACTAACTCTGTATTGTATCAGTCTGATTAAGATTGCATGGTTGTGGGGCAAGAACTTTGTCTCGATTGTTGCGTACACATAGTACTCTATTAAATTAGAATACATAGCAATTAACACACTAGATTGGTGTTGGGTTTTACTTTGTTTCTCCCCAAATATTCTTTGCAATGACAGATGTTTAATTAAAGGCTGTTAAACAATTTAACTCCTCAGAAGAACACAAAGAAGAGCTATTAATGAAGTAAATATCTGTTTAATTTACAAACATCAGTAGTATTACTGATATCAGTCCAAATAAGACAAAGCACACTGCATTACACATGTACATCTAACTTTTTCTGTAAAAAAAAAAAATATAAAAAAAAATAAAATTGAAAAAACATCTGCATTTTTTACAGGGTATCCTGGGATTTACTGAAAGAAGAATACAACCCACTATGAATCATTACCAGTTCTACATTGTCATTTAGCAGCAACATAGTAACATGGGGAACATTAGGGCAATAAAGTAGTTTTATTATTTGGAAAAAGTCACAGTCCGTGATAGTACAGCCTTTTTTCTTTCTTTCTTTTTTTTAAAAAGGTAAAGAGGGTCCAGGAGAAATATTAATTTGTAAAGGGTCTACTTTCTAGTGTCATTTTCTACACACCATTTTATTTTCTGTAAGTACTGTATATATAGGGAAAATTCACTTCTATACATTTGCCATCTAGTGTAAAGACATTTTCTCTCATACGTTACAAGTTCTCAGGAGGTGTCCTGACTGTCTGCTGTACGTGAAAACTGCAGACTATTATCACTTTCCGTTTCAGACACCAAGTGGTGAGATGCTAACACAAAACAAAACCAAAAACAAAACAGAAAAAAACAGACCAAACACATTTACCCCAAGATGACATGCTATGTTAGTTCTATTGCAAAAAATCCTGATTTTTAAGTCTTTCTTTTTTTTTTTAAACAAAATACAAAAATATCAGGACAAATATAAATTAATATATATTAAAGCATTGAAAAACAGTAAAAGGGATGCCTAAAAAGGTTAAGTACAATGTACTTTGATACAATAAATATTTCTCAATGAAACCGAATACTGTATAGAGCTGTTTAGAACTCAGAGAAACAAAAATCCATATTATTACTAATTTATCCATCAATAATCTATTTTTATCATCCCCTTAACATTTATATTACAAAAAAATTAATACTGGAAAAGGGTAGATAAACACTTTTTGTATGCTTCTTTTGCTAACATGCTGATATAAAAGTACACATTGTCAGGAGATTTCATGATTCTCACATTTTAACCTCTCCCATCCACTAAACGGGCACCCCCTCTTCTGCAGATGCTTAATAATTATGCCACACAAAATGCATCACATACATTTGTTAAACCAATATAATATGATTCCCTTCACCCACAACTCTTCCCCATCTATAAGTAAGTAATTGGCATGGTCTGTCAACATAGTAAAATATAGTGATATGAAAGTGAAAAAACAAGCCTCATGTTCTGGTCAATTTTTCATCAATGAGCTGTAGGTTGAAAGTCATATGTGTATAATATCAGTTTATCTTCAGCATGTTATAAAGAAGAATCCATGTTAAAAGCAGTTACGTTTCCCATCACTGTTGCAATGTTAAAGGGTCTTTTTTTTTCTTCAAAGCTCCTCTCGGTTACGAAAAGTCTCAATTCAAGCACTTGAATCTTTTTGCAAATGAAGAAAAAGTCTTTATTCTCTTAATAAAAATAAGTCTGTTCTGTATTTTACAATATATTTCAAATATTTTCACTATGAAGCATTAATTAGTCCGACATGGTCAATAAGTATACAACATTTTCAAAAGACAAGTGTGACAGGGACACATTTAGGAGGGGCACTTTGTACAGCCACACTTCACCACCTTCTCAACCTCGTCCACAAATGAGGACCCATCAGTGCATTCAAAAGAATATTTCCGTCTCTTGCTCCTTAGTGGTCCACAGCACTGCCCACTTGAACATCCTCCTTTACATTCTAGTCTCGATACCTTCTTGGTCGTCTGGCACGCGGCATACCCTTGCTGCTTTTGGTAGTAATCTCTGATTCGTTCCCCTCGACAAGAGATTTCTGTGAAAAACCAAAACCAAAATAATGTATGATTTAAAGATGCAAGTCACAGAATGATTTATAATACACAGTTTAGCTAAGAAGATGCCATGCTTCTAAATACAATTGCTATTTTAGAGTTTGACTTTCATTATAGATTAGAAACTAATGATTTCACTTGCGTTATTTTCTTAATGCTGAATTTTACCTTCTTTGTGCCCTCTATTTTCAGTAACATTTATACTGTGTATATATAAACCATAAATAAAATGTTAGTACAATTACAAGAAAATTGGAAGATACAATCTTTATTACACAAATACACATCTTTTGTTCTTACATTGCTTGCAGCTTGTTCTGTTTAGCACAGGGAAATGTTTCATAGAGCATGCAATTTAATTTATTAGCTCTGGAGTCTAATATTATTCAGTCTATTATTTAATACAGGCTATACACATTCCACTAACTTCATAAATTACTGAGGTATAAAACCATCTAAAAATGTGACATCTGTTAAAAGTTCTACCAGTCTATTCTAGTCACATTGATGCACAATACAAAATAAATAAATGCCAGCTGGGGTAAAAGAAAAAAGGGGGGTAGAAAGGAAGCGCTTTGACAGACAAAGGAAAAAATAAAAAGGTAGGGGAGAAAGTGATCCTGTTTTTATCCATCTCACCTGCATAATTCGCTGTGATATATCAGTTGAAGCTGAGAGGTCAAAAGTAGAGTTTGTGATAAAACTAGGAGCAGAATCATTGGATTTGGCTTCTCAGTTGCAGAAGACAGAGAAACAATAAATACAGAAAGATACAGCAGGTAAAAGGTAATAGTTATATATAGCAAAAATGTGCTTCTCAATCAAAGCAAAAATGAGAAATGTTTCAACATGATGAAAAAATGGGAAAATTTGTAAGAGTTTTCTCTCACTGAGACAAGCCCTTTACGATGTATTTTAAAAAAAAGCAACACAAATGTGTATTGTGAAAAAAAATTGGCAATGTTTTGATTGTTCATGTTCTAACACCAAATAATGATAGCATGCTGAATTATTTACCTTTATCACAGCTATCCCCAGTGTATCCGCTGCTGCATTCGCAATATGGTTTCCCAAGGCCGGAAAGCCTGCATTTTCCATGTTTACACCTGATGGACTGGCAGGGGTTAAACAACTCTTCCTCTTCATCACAGAGGACTCCCCCATGTCCCTGCAGGCATTTACAACTGTATGAAAATGCATTGATTGGCAAGCAGGTACCATGTACACATCTACAGGGGAAACAAGCCCAAGAGAATAAAAAGAAATTATTCATCAAAGTTTAGGCCGAGCAACATTAACTACAAATACTTTGGATTGTACTCAAAAAGCAATTGCTTAGAGACTTTTTTTTTAAATGCACTTTTTCAGTGGGAAGCAATTAAGTGGTTTATACAGTTTTTTTTTTTATAATTGGTAGGAAAATTTACAGAGAATACGCTGCAGTATAGGGTCCTATTCTGTTATTGCCAGAAAACAGCCACTGTAGATGTGTTATGGAAGTCTTGTACAGGTCACAATTAAATAAATCCAGCATTCCTCATGCACCCACACATTTAATGAGAGTTGGGCGTGCAAAGAATGCAAGATCTGACCCCAAATGAACAAACTCCTTAGAATTAAACTTGAATAGTGAAAAGAAAATGTTACTTACCTGTAATTTTCCTCCTTGAAAGTATCATTTCACAAGATTCTCTTGCCTGAGGTTTTGAGCTCCCAGCACAACACAGGACAATATCTCCCTAGCTCAAAGCTTTTTGGCCCTCTAAAGGCATGGCAGCCTGGTGGCTGTGCACAATGCCTGCCTCCCTCCCAAATCCAGTGATCATTCACCACTTACTATTATTCCTTCTGGTTACATAACCTTTCAGCCAGTTCCTGATTGCATGAGAAGCCAGTGATGCTTTTTCCACTGGGCTCTCAACATCCACTGAGATTGCATCTTATAAAGACATGACACAGGTACTATGATTACTGTTTTGGCCATGAGACCCGACATTTGTAACATGGTTAAACTGTCCCCTCCTGGATCTCATAAACCCCTTCCAATGTACTGCATCCTGTCCTGGGGCTTAAAGACTGCCTTGAGCTGCATCTACCAGGTTGCCAGGTACATTGCTGGAGCACAGAGCCAATCACATTCCTCTAAAAGAAGTATGCTGTTTCCCAGAAGGATAATTTTTAATTTTATTTCATCTAACACAGACTGAAATCCAGGGGGAATTAATTCTTTTTAAGAATCAGGAATTATCTGATTGCCACCTCTTGACTTGATGGCACAGGGTCAATGGCTTTCTTCCGAGGAAGAATTTTATTTCCTGTAACATTCTTCTTGATACACTAGTTTCCTGGACATATATTTGTTTCTTGGGGAACAATCTGAGTGAAGATTCCTGGATGGAGATCAAACCAATCTCAACAGCCCAACTCAGAATCACTCTGATGTTTCTCCTTCCTGTCTCCAGCCTCATCACTGGAAACCAAATTATGCTCATCTCCACATTGTACCTTTGGTCCCACATGAGTGATTCAGCATGGTGTGCTTAAAGGCATGGTAGGAAAGTCAATGCTGCTGGATAAGTCATTGACACCACTTGTACCATGGCTGAGCCTGCTTTCTGCAATCCACTGCAGGCTATGCTGAAATGAACTGCATATAGCACAGCTCTCTGCTTGTATTCAACCCTGAGAGTTTCAACACCAGTACAAACAAGACTCCCAGGGTGCCAAGACCTCTGACCTGCCTCAGCACTGGGCCTGCTGCTTGTTATTCCTGAACTTGTATGATTGGAGCCAGGGCCAGCCCACAACATTTTGGCACCTGAGGTGGGGAGCTCGAATGACGCCCCCCATGTCCCCTCGCTTGGACCAAAACTTTGAAAGGTCTCAATTCTGCCTTCTTCCTGTTTTACTCCTCTCATGGTACTCCTCTGCTACCTACCCCAATAAAGAAGAACTAATAACTTAAAATGCCTTGTTCAAAAATTTTAAGTAACACTTAACTTTCAAACGCCTGAACAGCAAATGTAACTTTTCTTGTCTCCATCGTAAACACTGGCATTTTTATCTGTTTGAATAATCAAAGTGGTGCTTTCCATGCCTTCTTGGTTGCAAAGATTTGAACTGCTTTCTGAAGGTCCACAGTCTGGGCCAGCTCATGCTCTATTGAGATGGTTGCAAGGCCGACCGGCCTCTCCTGTGTCACTGTGGAGCACAGATGTGTTTTTATTAACTTCAGCTTGGAGAAGCTGCATTCTCCACTGGCAACTGTTACAGGAAGTGTTAGAAGTATGCGCAGAGCAACAAAAGCATTTGGAAAGAGGGTGGTCATCTTATTTGTGCACATATATTCCAGAACAGCCTTTGGAGTTGATCCTGCTGAAATGTATCTTGAAAGGGCTTTCAGTTCATCACCTAAATCACTTACATCAATATCACGCATGTCATCATGTGTCAACACTGTCTCTAGTAACCTGCATTGCTGGTGTAGGTCTTCTTCAGGTATAGTGAGGAGTGTTGGAATATCATACAACATCCCAAATATACTGCTGTGTTCCTTGAGCTGCATGAAATGTTCAACTGACTGTATTGCACAATTTAGCACGTGGTTAAATAATTCAACTTTGAATTGTTGGTTGGGGTCTCTTATGGGATTATCCCATGCCACATAATCAAAATGTCTTCTTCTTCGGTGACTCTGGTATTCTTGAATGGGTGGGAAAATAGCTTCAGTGGGAAGTTCCTCTGCCCACTTCTGTGCACTCTTCAGAATGTTTTGAAATCCCTCATCTGACCGGTAAAACTGTAGGTATGACTTTGCTTTGTCTAGTTGTTCCATTGCTCCAGATATATTAAAGTCAACACCTTGAAGTCTCTTGCTTACACCATTTATTTCAAACAGTATGTCATGCCACAACACTAAGCCACACAGAAATTAGAAGTTATGTATGTTTCTGGTGATTCCATTTCCCGCTGCCACTGTTCTCCCATGAACAGTTCCTCTCATAGCATTATCCTCCATAATGGCAACTATGGCATCATCTATCTTTCCAATTTGGTGTTTGATAGGCTTTATCACCTCCACTCGACTTTCCCATCGTGTGACACTCAGTGGTTTCAGTGTCAGAGAGGATGTTCCCAGATGTTGCTTCAAAATTTGCCATCAGTGAGTTGATGCACAGAAAAATACACAGATGTTTTGAATTACACTACAAAATTCAGCAGCCTCACTAGAAGCTGATGCTGCATCACTGACCACCAAGTTCAATGAATGAGAACTGCATGGGACAAAAAAAGCTTGAGGGCTTAACTCTCGTATCCGTGTCTGCACTCCTCCGTTCTTTCCTCTCATGTTGGCACCATTATCGTAGCCCTGACCTCTCATGTCAGCTATTGCAATTCCTGTATCTTCCAGCTTTTTAAGAAGCACGTTTGTCATACCATCCTGTAGTATCATCAATGTCAATACATTCTAGAAAATGCTCTCTGACAGTCACCATTGCAGGGACATTTTCACTAGGTTCTTTTGTTGTTACAAAATGCACCATTAAAGTCATTTGTTCCGCATGGCTGATGTCAGGTGTGCAGTGCAGAATAACAGAGTAATATCTTGCTGACTTCAGATCTGCCACAATCTTCTGTTTGACTTTTGTTGCCAGTAACTGTATGATCTCATTTTGAATTGTTTTTCCAAGGTAGCGGTGTGTGTACATTTCTTGGCTGGTGACTCTTCTTTGATGCTCCTGGAGTACAGCCATCAGCTCCACAATTTTAAGGAAGTTTCCATTGTAAGGAAGTTTCCACAGCTGATCTGAAGTACCACGCAGTGCTAGGTTTTGGGTAGCAAGCATTCTCACAATGGCAATGAGCCTTTTCAGAACATTTTGCCAGTAAAGAGACTCTGATGCAATCTTCTCTTGATGCTGATCATCTATGGTGGCCTTTAACCTTATTCTCATCTCAAGCTCTTTCCACCTATGGACTGCTCTCTGGTGATTTGCTGCCTTCTCATGACATGCCAGATTTTTCCAGTCCTTTGTTCCTGTAGAACCCAATGTGGCTGGAACATTAGACTGGAAGAGTTTGCAACAAAACCAGTATGCGGCATTCTGGGTTTTTGAGTACATAAGCCATGGCCTCTCCACTTTGTCACCATTGGGGATTTCACACCAGTAATGTATTGGATGAAAACTTCTATTTTCATTGTCTTTGGGGAACATGAAGTTTTTCATTTGCTGTGGCCCATGCAGTACAAGGAAGTTCTCAGGCCACTGCTCAAGTGGGTCCACAATCCTGGATTATGTAGACGTAAGGAACTAAACTCAGCAGCAGCTGTTTCTTGCGCCTCCACCACACTCTTCTCTGATCTACACTTTTCTTCAGGAATGTGCATGGTTACATCCATTTGAGGTGGAGATATGGATGCTGCAGTAGCTGCCAGCTCACCTGCACTCTAACTGGAAGATCAGGCATCTCCTCACCAGTCACATCCTCACTGGGGCCGGAAGGCTCACCATGAACATTTGTGTCTATGTATCTCAGGAGAACTTCCTGCTAAGATAGAAAAGCTTCCTTTGCTTTCTTTCTTTTTCTGAATGCTACCCCAGAGGAGCGTTTTCTTCTTTCACTCATGGCTGCTGTTCTGTGCCAGCTATAGTGGTTCTCAACACTCAGTTGAAGGGGACAAATAAGCAGGCTGGTAGCAGGGCCTGAGTAAGGGAAGATATCAGCGTCTTAAGGGCCTAACTGGCTCCTTCAGTTGACTGCCTGTTCTCCTCAAGTGGGTTCATGGAAGCTCCCTGAGAAGCTGGTGTTAATGAGTCCAGGCTCCTGGGGGTTCTAGAGAGGTACATAAGAGGCTCCTCCTCCTGTCTCTCCCTGCAGCTCCTGCTGCTTTCTGTTATTCCCTCTCACCGTTTCTCCTGCCTGCCTGTTATGTCTCTTGTGCCCTCCTTCCTCCAGGACAGCACTCCACCATCTCTGTGCATCTAGAGCAGAAAGGATACATATGCACCAGCAGCAAGCATAATTTTCTACACTCTGGGTCCTAGTGGCGCCCCCCCAACAGTCTGGCACCTGAGGCGGCCGCCTCAGTTTGCCTCATGGTAAGGCCAGCCCTGATTGGAGCATTTCAGTCCCCTAGCCTCAGGTCATTTCCAAATGCTGCATGTGTTTGGAGTGTGATATCCAGAAGTTTCCAGGCTGAGCACAGGGTCCAGGGTTTCAGCAGTGTCCCAAGACTGCTGGCTCTCATGTGGCACTCTCTGCATTTAGTCCTCTGGTTGAAACAACTCATTATCCAAGGAACAGCCAGAGCTTAGTACATCCAATCTGTGATGTTGTGCTGAGGGTGTCAAAGGCCTGATATGCTCTGAAGAGGTTGTGTTTGACGACAATACAAATTGCATCAAGCCAACTAGTAATGAGGATGTGCTAGATTTAGAAGGTAGTTGGATCTGTGCCAATGCCAAGTCTTGAATTCAACAGATCCTTTGAAGAACTCCAGGCCAAACTGGAGTAAAAGAAACATCAAGTCAAGTGCAGTGTTTTGGTCCTTATCTTCAAGGTGCTCAATGGCCAGGACCCAACATATCTAAAATACTGCCAAAAGCTCCAGAATGAGCACACTGGTGAAAAACTCTATTTTTCAGGCACGATGGAACTTTCTACCATAAGAGTAAAGATCATCTGGGAAGGAGTCAGACTTTCTTTGGGGCTGGCCAGAGACTTTACAATGAACTATCACAGGAACTAAGGACCATCACCATCTTCGATTCCAAATGCAAGGTGAACGTCTTCAGCCTGGCCTTCTCCAGGATGAACACACAGAGAAGCGTACATTCAAAGAACAGGACATAAAAGTACATGAAAACTTAAAAAACAAAACAGAACACTATGTAGGTTGTCCCCGTGGGGACACAATGAAAGAAAGAGCAAACCACTCATGACAGATTTTAGTCATGTCACTTAATGCACTACCAGAAGGTGCTGAGACATTCCAGTGACGAAAATGGTAATAGAAACCCATATAGAACAGAATAGAATTCTTTCAGAGGTGCCTCTAATAGGATCTTTAGTGCTCCCCACACAAAATTTGATGGATGACATTTCCATGTTATATTTGACTTCCAAAGCACAAAATGCAGCAGACTTGCTCATTTGTGATCGACATATGGCAGCTGCATCTGCTTCTGGAAGCCACTGTGTCTTCCTTTCTTTCTCCTCCTAAGTTGCAAAGAAAAGGGTTATCCTGGAAAAGAAACCCCGTGAATAAAAAACCAGGAACTTGGTACTACACTAAGTGCTGAAATGCTTCAAAACTGGTGTGGCTTTGGGAGTAGAGTTATAAACTTCAGAGTACTGAAACATTCTGAAGCCAGCGCAAACAAACTGCTGAAATAATTGAGCCAAAACCTCAAAGTTGTCAATAGTATCAACCCAGAATATGCCAAAAAGGACACTTAAAATCACTCTGCCCAGGACCTGAAAAACAACAACTCAACCGAATCTGAGCAAAACACAAAGTTAATCCACTGGACATCAAAGGAACATGGTGGTTTTAGGTCATGTAGGCTGGATTATTGAAAAACAAGCAGACAAGAAAAACAAATAAGCCCTATGTTTTGGAGCTAATTGCAACAATGAGAGATCAATGATAACAGTTCCAAAAGTCCAACTGCAGCTCTCACAGGGAGTTGCTAGCTGAATTATGGTCAAGCAAGTTGTACGGGGAGAGGTAACAGCAAATTGTGATACACAGAATCATACACTATCAGGATTGGAAGGGACCTCACAAGGTCATCTCGTCCAACCCCCCCCCGCTCAAAGCAGGACCAATCCTCAATTTTTGCCCCAGAACCCTACATGGCCCCTGCAAGGATTGAACTCGCAATCCTGGGTTAGCAGACCAATTCTCAAACCACTGAGCTATCCCTCCCCTGCATGACCAGTAGGTGATTAAAAAGCTTTGTGTTAGTGGAGTCCCTGACCTGGCTTGTGCTGGGTGCCCATGACCCAACAATGAGAACCTTGTGAGAATGCAATCTATATCAATGCATCTATCTAGAAAAATATTCAACAGGAATATGCAGTTAAAATGTTTTAGCCAAAATATATTAAAACAACATTACAACGCAGGAGTTACTAACATCACTGAGTATGGACTTAACACAGAAGCTAGCCTGTGCATTGGGAAAAATATCTACCAGCTGAGTCATGTGACAATATGGAAGTATTAAAAATAGCTATGATTAGTGTATTTTCTCCTTGCTGTAAACTGTTTATAAAATGAAATACATTTTTCTGAAATACTCTAACAAAATTATGAATACAGAAATGGATGTGTTTTCATTTGTAAAGCCCCCTGATTATTTCTTATGCCAATCCTCATGTCTTATTTGGATAGTCATATTCACACCAATGTAGTTCACACTGTAGAAGCTGTGCACAAGTACCTAGGTACCATCTATTATGGCCTTTGGTGGGGCTTAAGAAGTAGAGGTACAGAAACTTTGTCACACCATCTGCACTGGGAAGTTTCACTCATTAAGAATATTTTTAAAAAAATGAATTGGCATACCCAGGCTATTCCACAAATACTACAGAATGCTGTCACATAATGTAGCAGCTGAAGTTTCTGAGTACTCTTCAAGTTCAACCAGCAAAAGACTACACTGCTGTGATCCAACCTCGGAGTAACTTTTAATTCTACATGTACAGTATATTTGTATCTTGCTGAAAAAATTTGAACTTTAAATTGAATGTACATAACAGGACAGTCATATTAATATTAGAACATTAAATTATAGCTCTGTTTTGAGGAAGGACATACTTATTTCCAAGACAAGGGTCATTGGTTTGCTGATCACACAGCGGTCCAGTCCATCCTCCTTCACACTCACAGGTAAAACCTGACTGGCTCGTAGCATGGCAGGTTCCATGCACACACACTTTCTTGTGACAGGGCTCACAACCAGGAAGAATTCCCACTTGCAGTGGCACATTTCTAAAGTCCTGCAGTTCACTGTTGATGTACAGATTACGGATGCAGCCATGGAAGCTGGTGCCATTCTGGCCTGGGGACTGGCGTAGTGATGCAACATTGTTTTTCACAGGCATGCCTAGAAAATGAACATCATCAACTCATGACTACATTGTTTGGTAGGAACAGTTTTGTATTCTTTTTTACTGTTGTTTTTATTTATTAATTTAAAAAACTGTTCCCAAATAACCATTCATATCTATGGAACACACAATTATCAGAGATGGGCTCAATATCTGGATCTAGATGTGGTTTAAGTATGGTTCAGTTTAGGCAACAACAAGACATATTACGCTTGTGATATTTCATCCACGTACGGTGAAAATTTCACAAGATCAGCGTATCTGGCAACATTTCTACCATCCCGAACTGAAGAGTTCAGAAGCATGCAAACTAAAACCAGAAAATAGGCCTTTCTCGGTTCTGGATCACACCCAAGGTCTCCACTGTAGAGATGGATACAGATTCAGGGATTCAAATAGGAACCTCACAGAACTGAAAAGTTTAGGTCTGAAGTTCTGGTTTTGACTCATTTCTAGTAGGTACAGATGACACTGTTTTCTAAGCCTTTATTTTCATTCACAAATCATTTTAAAAATACAGTTTGTGTTGAAATTTAGCATATGGGATCTGATTTTCAGAGATGCTAAGCATCCACAACTCCAGTTGAAGTCCCTGGTAGTTGTGGAAGCTCAACACTTCTGAAAATCAGGCCCACACTTCTCGCGTGTGAAATTTTGTGTGCGAAAATTTCACAAAAAGTTCAGCTGTCCTGATAGGTGCAAATTCACATACCAAAGATTATTTTCACAACTGTAAATTCTATTACAATCTACAATTGTTACAGAGGCCACTTGGGGGAGTGAGGTAGGGTAGATATATGTACTGCAATTAAATATATCCTTATAAATTTTTGGACTTTAATTCAACACTGTGTTCTTGCATATTGGTCTAATAATTGTTTCATGAATGCGTAATACTTCCTGGGATGAATAAATTACAGGAATCATAGAATCATAGAATCATAGAATATAAGGGTTGGAAGGGACCCCAGAAGGTCATCTAGTCCAACCCCCTGCTCGAAGCAGGACCAATTCCCAGTTAAATCATCCCAGCCAGGGCTTTGTCAAGCCTGACCTTAAAAACCTCTAAGGAAGGAGATTCTACCACCTCCCTAGGTAACGCATTCCAGTGTTTCACCACCCTCTTAGTGAAAAAGTTTTTCCTAATATCCAATCTAAACCTCCCCCACTGCAGCTTGAGACCATTACTCCTCGTTCTGTCATCTGATACCATTGAGAACAGTCTAGAGCCATCCTCTTTGGAACCCCCTTTCAGGTAGTTGAAAGCAGCTATCAAATCCCCCCTCATTCTTCTCTTCTGGAGGCTAAACAATCCCAGCTCCCTCAGCCTCTCCTCATAACTCATGTGTTCCAGACCCCTAATCATTTTTGTTGCCCTTCGCTGGACTCTCTCCAATTTATCCACATCCTTCTTGAAGTGTGGGGCCCAAAAATGGACACAGTACTCCAGATGAGGCCTCACCAATGTCGAATAGAGTCACAGTGTACTCCAAATAAAAGTGGAACTTCTAGATACTTGAAAATAAATGATCCCATTGGTTTGAATAGAACTGATCTGGTCTAAAATTAAAAGCAAGGCAGTTTTAAGTCTGATTAGTGCAACAGAGTGAGAGTGAGGCCCCGTCAGGATTCCCTAGGCATCCCTAACTCAGACTGCACATGGACTACCCTCCCTTGAGAGCACCTGCCCCCCAATTTCTTAGCCATGTGGGTAGGGAGAAGAAAATAACACTAATTGCTTTGACATGCTCTGCACAGCCACCCCTTACAAAAAAGGAACAAAAAAAAACTATATGAAACAAAGACACCAATGCAACATTGAGATGTAAGAGCCAGGGATTTCTGAATGAAGGTTCCCACAGCAACTGGGAAAAGAGCAAATGTGCATTACAATAACTGAAATAATATCAGGCAAATATTACAATGTAAGTCAACTCAAAGAAATGTTTCTCTAAAATCAGAGATGCACACATATAGCCCAGTGAAAGACTCACCTACCACATAGGCAAATGTGGGCAGAGGAACAGTTGCTGTGGAAACCCTCATTCTGAAATTACTGATCTTTGTGTGTTTAAGAATTCATCCATTATGATGAATTAATATTTTTTGGTGCTGTCGACTAATGGCAGTTAACTCATGCAATTAACTAAAAAAAAATTAACTGCAATTAAAAAAATTAATCAAGATTAATCACACAGTTAAACAATAGAATACCAATTGAAATATATTAAATATTTTTGTATGTTTTACTACATTTTCAATTATGTTGATTTCTATTACAACACAGACTACAAAGTGTACAGTTCTCACTTTATATTATTATTTTTATTACAAATATTTGCACTGTAAAAATGATAAACAAAAGAAATACTATTTTTCAATTCACCTCATACAAGTACTATAGTGCAATCTCTAACATGAAGGTGTAACTTACAAATGTAGATTTTTTTTTGTTCCATAACTGCACTCAAAAGCAAAACAATGTAAGCCTTTAGAGCCTACAAGTCCACTCATTCCTACTTCTTGTTCAGCCAATTGCTAAGACAAACAAGTTTGTTTACATTTACGGGAGATACTGCTGACTGCTTCTTATTTACAATGTCGTCTGAAAGTGAGAACAGGCGTTCACATGGCACTTTTGTAGCTGGCGTTGCAAGATATTTATGTGCCAGATATGCTAAACATTCATATGTCCCTTCATGCTTCGGCCACCATTCCAGAGGACATGCTTCCATGCTGATGATGCTCGTTAAAAAAAAAAGTGTTAATTAAATTTGTGACTGAACTCCTTGGGGGAGAATTGTATGTCTCCTGTTCTGTTTTACCCACATTCTGCCATGTATTCCACGTTATAGCAGTCTTGGATGATGATCCAGCACATGTTCGTTTTAAGAACACTTTCACAGCAGATTGACAAAACGCAAAGAGGGTAGCAATATGAGACTTCTAAGGATAGATACAACACTCAACCCAAAATTTAAGAATCTGAAGTGCCTTCCAAAATCTGAGAGGGATGAGGTGTGGAGAATGTTTTCAGATGTCTTAAAAGAGCAACACTTCGATGCAGAAACTACAGAACCCGAACCACCAAAAAAGAAAATCAACGTTCTGCTGGTGGCATCTGACTCAGATGATGAAGAGAAACATGCATAAGTTCACGCTGCTTTGGATCATTATTGAGCTGTCATCAGCCTGGACTCGTCTTCTGGAATGGTGGTTGAAGCATGAAAGGACATATGAATCTTTAGTGCATCTGGCACGTAAATATCTTGTGATGCCGGCTACAATAGTGCCCTGCGAAAGCCTGTTCTCACTTTCAGGTGACACTGTAAACAAGAAGAGGGCAGCATTATCTCCTGCAAATTGTAACCAAATTTGTTTGTCTGAGTGATTGGCTGAAGTAAGACTAAGTGGACTTGTAGGCTCTAAAGATTTACATTGTTTTGTTTTTGAGTGCAGTTATGTAACAAAAAAAAATCTACATCTATAAGTTCAATTTTCATGATAAAGAGATTGCACTACAGTACTTGTATTAGGTTGTAATAAAAATAATATAAAATGAGCACTGTACACTTTGTATTCTGTGTTCTAATTGAAATCAATATATTTGAAAATGTAGAAAACACCCAAAAATATTTAAATAAATGGTATTCTATTACTGTTTAACATTGCGATTAATCATGATTAATTTTTTTAATTGCTTGACAGCCCTAATATTTTTACACATGCACCATACACAGTGCATATAGTTTCCTTGCTAGGACACTAGTCTTGCAGCAATATTCACACAGGCACACTCTTATGCACGGGCAGAGTCAAGAACAAGAGTCTGGCCCATCCTTAACCAACTGTCACTTTGCGGACTAAATCAGAAGCAACAGAAAGAGAGGTTACTTACTTAACATACTGGAGTTCTTCAACATACTTTAGTTCACACAGATCCAACTGTAAGTATGTGCAGGCCTGGAATTTCTTAGCCAGCATGGTCCGCTGGGATTGTGCATGAGGTTGCATGCCCTCACGCCCCCTACTGTGAGTGTATAAAAGCAGCCCCAACCATCCCTCCATTTCTTCACTAGTACAAAAAATCCAGGTAAAGTCTCTGTATCAATGGAGAACGAGGGCAGGTTGTGGGATCCACGTGGACAAAGGCAACTTGAAGAACTCCAGTTATTGCATGATGAGCAACCTCTCTTCTCTGAGCATTTGTCCACACAGATCACACTGTAGGTGGCTAGCAGTTACTTCTCAAGGAGGTGAGTGACAGGAGTTCTATTTAAATAGTGACTGTAGACAACCCAGCCAAATTGGACATTTGATCTAAAAGGCACCACAATGGACTAGTGATGAACTTATGAACAGAATTCCAAGTGGCTACCCTCCAAATCTGAGAAATAGGGACCCTCTAAAACAAGCTACTGTTACCATCTGATCCCTAGTAAATTGTGCCCTAACTCAAGAGGGAAGAGGTATTTTGTTTAATGAATAGTGCATCTTAATGCTAACTGTAGCCCATTTAGAGATGATTTGACAGCACACAGCCTGCCCTGTAGACTTACCACCAAAAGCCACAGAGAGTCTGGATGATTTGCAAAATGGCTTTGTTCTGAAAAGGTAAAAGAACATAGCTCTAAGAATATCTAGCTTATGTTGTTTTGACCTCTGCAGGAGAATCATGAAGTTTAGGAAAAAATACTGGTAAGTGTATACATTGATTTATATGAAAACCTGAAACCACTTTCAGTAAAAATTTTTGATGCGGTCTGAGAATAACCTTATGAAAAATGATGTAAGGGAGTCTTGCCATCAAAGCCTGAATTTCCCAGAGAGTGGAGGTGATGGCTACCAAAAATATAAGTTTAGCAGAAGTGATAGAAAGAATGTGATGACATAAGATCAAAGGGAGGGTTCATCAAAGACAGGAGAACTACATTCAAGTCACAGGTAGGAAACAACACCTTAACTTGGTGGAAATGCATGTATTAGGCCCTTTAAAAATTTAAATATCATTTGCCAACACCAGATGGAGCACTAGGCCTTGGTTCAGCAAAATGATGTCTGAGAAGTTCAGAAGTCAAAGAGATGGTCTGATGGATAGATGCATCAGGTCAGAATACCAGAATTGATGTAATTGTGCTGGAGCTACCATTGTCACCCGGTCCTTGTCCTGATACAGCTTTTTGGAGACTCTGGGAATTAGCAGAGTGGATGGAAAGCCATAAAACAGGTTCTTTCCCACGGAATCAGAAATGCATCTGCCATAGATCCTGGTCTTACTGCTTCCCAGGAATGCTTTCCAGGTTAGCAGAGTGGCCCTCAGCTCTGTAACATTTATTTGCAACTGAAACACTGCTCAGGACCACATACCCTGAATCTGAAGAAAGCCCAAATAAGCACCTCCACGTAGGGTTGATGCATCCACCACCAGAATCTTTGAAGGCGGCGGTGGATCAAACAGAATACACTGGCATACATTTTGAGCGTCTGTCCACCAAAGCAGAGATGACAGTATTTTCAAAAGAACATCTACCAGTAAGTCCATGCTGCATTTGATTGCTGATAAATCAAGCCCTGAAAGGGCCAGAGGCTCATCTTTCACATGGAATCATGTATGTCCATGCTGCCATATGATCCAGTAAATTTAGGAGACCTTTCACTGACATTCTTGATGAGACAATGTATGAAATGAGGTGATTCAGCACTTACTTTTTTTTTTGAGAAAGATACATTCTTGCCAATCTGGAGTACAGCATTGCTCCAATAAATTCTATGGACTGAACAGGGGTGAGAATGGACTTCTCTCACTTGATCTGGAGGCCCAGTTTGGAAAACAGCTGTAGAACGGTGTGTGATGATCTGCTGCGATGACTGACCTCAAATCAGCCAAGATACAGATACACATAAAATCATAGAAATGTAGGGCTAGAAGGGCCCTGAAGAGGTCAGCTAATCCATCCCCTGCGCTGAGGCAAGTATCCCTAGACCATCCCTGACAAATGTTTATCTAACCTGTTCTTGAAAATCTCCACTTAAAGGGATTCCATGATCTTGGACATACATGAGTCCATGTGCAACAGGGTAACCTGTTCTACTGCTTAATTATATGTATAGTTAAAAAGTTTTTCCTACTATCTAACCTAAATCTCCCTTACTGCAGATTAAACCTATTACTTCTTCTCCTACTATTGGTGGGCATAGGGAACAATTGATCATCATCCTCTTTATAACAACCTGTTACATATTTGAAGACTGTTTTCATCATATCCCCTTAGTCTTCTCTTCCCTAGACTTAACATGCCCAGTTTTTTCAATCTTACTTTATACACCACGTTTTCTAAACCTCTCATTAGTTTTATTGCTCTCCTCTGGACTCTTTCCAATTTATTCACATCTTTCTTAAAGTGTGGTGCCTAAAACTGAATACAGTACTCCAGCTGAGGCCTCATGAGTGCTGAGCAGAGCAGAAGGATTTCTTACCGGGTCTTACATACAACACTTCTGTTAATACACCCCAGAATGACTTTACCTTTTTTGCAATCACATCACATTTTTTGGCTGATCCACTATAACCCCCAGAAGCTTTTCTGCAGTACCACTACCTAACCAGAAATTCCCCATTTTGTATTTGTGCATTTGATTTTCCCCTTCCAAGTGCAGAACTTTGTAACTGTATTTACTGGATTTCATATTACAGATTTCAGATCAGGGAACATGAAACGTCTCTGAAGCATGAGATCTGTGACAGGAGGGACTCCCTTCAATGCTACTCTCAGGAATCAATCTACGTTGAGGAGGAGATCTATTCTAGGAGAAGGGCTTCTGCTGCCATTAGAAGATTATGGTGATGCAGATGAATAAAATTATTTTAAAAGAAGTCAATCCCTGAGGTGTAGAAACAGGTAGAGACTCAGACATGACAGTATGAGCAGCAGGCAATGGTACTGTAGAAGCTGGATGCAAAGAGGTTTTCATTTTCAACACACAGCACAGATTTGGATATGACAGGTAAAAGAGAAACATCAAGTGAAGGGGACACTGCTTCCAGATAGATGCATAGGTCTGAAGGAGATTTAAAAGCAGCCATGACAGACATAGGAGGCAGTACCGATGACAATGGTACCATGACTAATGGTACTGATGTGGGAGTCTTAGCAGAATTTTTTTTATCATAATGCAATACCGATGAATCTGCGGCATCCAGTATCGATACCAACATGGTGCTCAGAAAACAGTGGTAGTCACCTGAGGTAGAGGGGGTAGAACTGCTGCAGAGGAACACAATCCCACAATCTCTGATGACTCACAGTACCAATGTGATTTTGAAGGCGTTAATTTAGGCACTATGACTGTTAGCTTTCCTCTTGGCTAGTACTGGGGATGATGACCACAGATTTTTGCTCCTTCCTATATCTTGGGCAGCAGGAGGGCCTCTGACTTACCCAAAGAGGATTAAGGAGAAGGATCAGAAGGCCTAACCCCTGGAATGATGTCTTGTAGCCACAGCACTTGCTGAACCTGCTTTTGAAGCAGGAGGACAGTTTCTGAAGAGGGACCTCAGAGTGAGAGACATGTCTTATTGAATTTTCCATCAGAAAGAATTTCAAGTGGGTGCCATGAGCTTTCTGTGTACATTTAGAAAAATAATTACAAATAGCACACTTGTTTGGGATATGAGACTCCCCTAAAGAAAAACAGGCATTTCCTATGTGCATCACTGGCAGGCACAGCTGTCTTGCAGGCAGGACAAATTTTAAAGCCTGGAGGCCTATTCTCAACCATTGGACCTAATTCTCGGTATTGAAGTGAGACTCAGAAGAAAAAGGAAAAAGTCCTTTCAAACAAAAGCCAACAGACTTAAATTAAACTTACAGAAACTACAGGAAGACTAAATTAACTAAGTAATTGCAAACTCTGATCCTATCTCAGAGCTGCCAGGAAGCAAGACAACACTCTGGCTCCAACTCGCTATCATGGGTGGTGAAGAGGAACAATGGCATTGGGAGTGCTCTGCCTTTTATAACTTTGCTGTAGGGGCATATGGGTGTCCATGGCACATGAGCAGCCCCAAAGGACACTGTTGGTTTAAAGATTCTGGGCTCGTGCGCATGGGGCACACATGGGGACAGTGAGTTCCGTTGAGGACAAACACTCAAAAAACCCCACAATTTCAGTTATCTTCACAAGAGTCTGTGTCCATTTAAAAAATATTTCTTATTGAAAAAAGTACTAACATAGTATGTGCAGTGTGAAAGCAAGAACCGTCACAACCTTTTACCGTGTAAGTCCCCCACCCGTTCCTCCTGTCTTTTGCCTAACGTCTTCTCTCCCTGTGTCATAGCTCTTATTTAACCTAAATTGTAAGTGCCTCAGGGCAGAAACGGAGGGTGTGATTTTTTCATTGCCTTGCATCTTGCCAGCATTTACACGTCTGTATATTTACAGTGTGAAGTGAATGTGAAACACCACTGAAACAGAATGATAGCATAAATGACTATTCAAGGTGCTAAGGAGTCAAAAACAGGCCCTTGTGGCTTGTCTACGAAATGCTATGCATTTTCCAGTCCTGTTTAAAACTAAATAGTAATAGGAAAAGCATAATTATAAAATATTGCACTGTGGATCACATCCTTACTTTCAGAAAACAACAGTTATGAGCTACCAAGAACTCTCTGGTCCTTCAGCTACACTCCTCCTAGAGCAATCGAGTATTTACTTTTATATTATTATGTAGGATCATCTACTGCTGAATTTGAATCATCTACTACTACAGTTAACAATGAGACTATTTCAGCATTAATTGCCCTGAGAGTCATCTTTCAGAATTAACCCAGTGAAGTGGCCCTTTACTATGCTTTTGTCAATGCATATTTCCAGAGTACATTTGCTATAACATCTCTAATAAAAAACAATAAGTTCCCCTACCTCCTACATAAAGTGGGGAGTCAACATTCAGAGTTGATTGCTTAGACAAGTTGGTAATGATCTTGGGGCTTCCTCCATCAACAGACAAAGACAGAATCTGATCCATGGCTAGCAGCTCCACTATGTGGAAATTCCCATCATTTATTGTCTCAACGCTGCAACAAACAAACAAAAAAAGTTTTAAAACATTTGAATCTTGGTTAGAATTTCCTTGACCTTCTGTCCTGTAAACAGTATATAGCTTCAGAGCAAAACTTCCCCAGTAACGTAATCTTCTAACAACTAGATTTTAAGTAAAGATGTGAAGTCATGCTTATTAACAGATAATAAATTGTATTACTATTTCTGTAGCATTGTAGTATTGGTACTGGTATATTTTACATATTAATGGCACCTTTCAGTCTGAAGTATTCCCAAAAGAGTTTACTAACTATATACATAGAACTTCAACCAGACAGAATGTGCCACAAGATCATGCAAAGTGAACACCACTATTCTTTTAAAATCTTAATTGAAAAAACAAAACAAAATGAAACTCCAGTGATGAAAACAGTATTCCATGTATTTATCTTGAAAGAGTTAAGAGCTGAGTTGACACCAGTGAGATTTGAACTTATTGTTCCAGAGAATCGGGGCTGTGTCTACACTTAGGATTTACAGACATACTCCCATCACTGGGGCTCCAGGTGTACCTGGAGCGTGGGGCATGATTTCCAGCTCAAATAGACATACTCACGCTAGCATGCTACAATAGCAGTGTAGCTGCAGTAGTACTGTCAGCTGTTGCAACATGGGCTAGCTTCCCCAAGTACATACTCATAGGGTTTGGCAGGCTTGTAGTCAGGGGGGCTAGTCTGTGTTGACACTTGCCAGTGTCCATAGTATAGTTGCTATACTACTATTTTTAGTGTGCTAGCTTGATGAGGGCTAGTGTGAGTATCTGCTTGACATGGGAATCACAGCTCCAGCTCCAAGTGTAGATGCAGCCTTTCACAGCTCCGTTTCTCCTAGAAATAGAGTAAGTGCTATGGTAGACTAGGCATGGATATATTTATGCATTTTTCCTCTACCTAACACAGTGACATGGTGGTAAAAAAGTGTTTGTGCATGTCTGCATCATGCCTTCTTTCCTTGCTAGCATGGCGAGAGAATGTCTGACAGTGTAGACAAGGCCTTCCCATTTCAACCCTGAGGTTTAGATGTCTACAATGGAATAAGCACTTTCTGGCAGGTGGAGGAGAGACGGCTGTGCTACATATGAAAAAGTAAAATGACAGCGCTCTAGATTCCCACATGGCAAGGTCTAATGTTCTGACCAGTGCACGTATATATCAGGTAAGATGTGCACAATAATACTGCTTTTCTTCATATATATATATATATATATATATATATATATAAAACTTGAGGTTTTCAAACTGACTGACAGAAAGAAGACTAAAAATATCACAGCTCTATGTGCAGAGATAAGAAATGCACCACTAACTTTCATTTAACATATTTTGATGTTTTCAGGAACAAGATGGTGCCAGGTTGAACAATGCACATCACTATTTGCTGGAGACAACCAAGAGAAAGCAATAATATTGTGCACATCTTACTTCTTGGGAAGTTGATAAAGACATGTAATTTAAGAACGTATCAACCCCGCATGAAGTACAGATCAAAACGATGAATGTAACACTGAATACAAGTCTTCATAGCAAGCAATTATATAGGTAAGGATATATAAAACAGAATATTTAAAGTGAAAAGCCCTTTCCTAAGAATGAATACCAACAAGATCTGGATTAAACTTCTATTTACTGGTGAAAACCTACTGCAGAAAGCAGGAGAGGTCACTCACCTTGTACAGTAACTGTAGTTCTTTAAGATGTGTACCATTATGGGTGCTCCACTTCAGGTGCTTTGCCCACCAGGCAACTTCAATCAGAGATTTTAGGTAGCACTGCCTGTTCAGCCCACGCATGCACCCTACACAGCCTCGTGCTCTGCACCGAGGCTATACAGAGCTGCAAGGGCAAACCACCCTCGGTTCCTTCTCTTTTGCAAAGCTCCATAGTGGAAACTCCAAAGCAGAGGGGAAGGAGGGCAGGTAGTGGACCACACATGGAGACACACATCTCAAAGAACTACAATTACTGTACAGGGTGAGTAACCTCTTCTTCTTCTTCTTCTTCCTCCTCGAGTAGCATCCCTAGGGGTACTCCACTTCGGGTGACTACCAAGCAGTACTCACTGAGGGCGGGAGAAACTCTGGAATTGAGTCCAAACTGAATGTACTATAGTATAGCCAAACACAGCATCTGAAGCTGAGTTGTGGATTACAGCATAATGTTTCAAAAAAGTGTGTCTGGAGGTCCAAGTTGCAGCTCTATAGATCTCAGCAATGGGAACATTCTTAAGATCACAGAAGTAGAAAGGGATCTCGCTGAATGGGCTAGGATCCTATAAGGTGGTTGAAGATTATTAGATTGAGAACAAGAGATAATGCATCCAGATACCCATCTAGAGAGTCTTGATTGGAAATTAAGGATCCCTTAGACCTGTCAGCAAGAGACACAAACAACCTGGAAGATTTTCTAAATGGTTTAGTCCTGTTCAGGTAAAAGGCTTATGCCTTCTTGACATCGAGTGTATGCAGTACCACATCCTCCCTTAGTCCAGTGTGGTTTAGGGAAGAAAACTGGAAGATGAATGGTCTGGTTAATATGGAACTCAGATGACACCTTCGGTAAGAATCTGGGGTGTGGCTGTAGTGTAACCTTATCCTTGAAGAATACTGTGAAGTGGTGATATACCGTTAGAGCCCCTATCTCTCCAACTCAGATGTACTGGTTACCATGAAGGGCATTTTCATTGATAAGTTAAGTATAGAAAAGGTTGCCATTGGCTCAAAGGGAGGTTTCATAGGCATCTAAGCAGCAAATTAAGGTCCTAAATCTGGGTAAGATGTTTGACTAGTGGGAAGAGATTCCTCAAACCCTTGAGAAACCTTACCATCACTGGATCTGCAAAAGCTGAGAAACCTTTCCCCCAGGGAATGAAAGGTTGTAATGGCGAGCAATTGTACACTCAAAGAACTCGAAGACAGCCACATCATCTTTAATTCAAGAAAGGTGTCTTAGACCGCACCAGTGTCTGAATCTTGTCCATTGCTGTAGATAAGCATTACAGGTAGATCACTTCCTACCCTTTTCACTTCTTCAGAACAGGGTGTTTTTAACCCCACAAACCATCAATAAGTCATGCTTTGAGGCAAAGAACTCGGAGGCTGGGGTAAAGAATATGTCTGGCATCCTGAGAGAGAAGATGAGGGATAGCCTGGAGGGTGATTAGTTGCCAAGTGGATGAGGTAAGGAAACCATGCTTGTAGCAGGTATGTCTGAAACACCAGCGTAACTCTGGCCTTGTCTTACCTTATTTTGATCAACACCTTTAACATTAGAGGTGGTGTGGAAAATGCATATAACAGACCTCACATCCAATGAAGGAGAAAGGCATCTCCCAGTGAGTGGTGACCTAGTCCCAGTCTCAAACAAATGGGAACACTTCCTGTTCTTAGCAGTGGAAGAGGTCTACCTGCAGAATGCCCCAACATTCTAACGGCATTTTGGACTGTATAAGTAGGGGCATTGCCAGCAGATCGAGGGATGTGATTATTTCCCTCTATTTGACACTGGTGAGGCCTCATCTGGTGTACTGTGTCTAGTTTTGGGCCACACTCTACAAGAAGGATGTGGAAAAATTGGAAAGCGTCCAGTGGAGGGCAACAAAAATGATTAGGGGACTGGAACACATGACTTATGAGGAGAGGCTGAGGGAACTGGGATTGTTTAGTCTGCGGAAGAGAAGAATGAGGGGGGATTTGACAGCTGCTTTCAACTACCTGAAAGGGAGTTCCAAAGAGGATGGATCTAGACTGTTCTTAGTGGTAACAGATGACAGAACAAGGAGTAATGGTCTCAAGCTGCAGTGGGGGAGGTTTAGGTTGGACATTAGGAAAAACTTTTTCACTAGGAGGGTGGTGAAGCACTGGAATGCGTTACCTAGGGAGGTGGTGGAATCTCCTTCCTTAGAGGTTTTTAACGTCAGGCTTGACAACGCCCTGGCTGGGATGATTTAGTTGGCGATTAGGTCCTGCTTTGAGCAGGGGGTTGGACTAGATGACCTCCTGAGGTCCCTTCCAACCCTGATATTCTATGAACACTGAAATATGCAATGGAGAATAAGGAGATCTATTTCTCATTCATAATCCTGAGAGAAATGTCTGCTGAGGGCATCTGCAGTTATGTATTGAACAATCAGAAGGTATGCTGCTGAGATGTGGGTTTGGTTGAGTATGTACCAATTCCAAAGTCTCACTGCTCCAGTGCAGAAGGAGGGTCACCTCACTCCCCCTTCTTGGTTGATATAAAACATTCATGTCATATTGTCTGTTATGATCTTTACATATTTGTCTGTGATCAATGACAGAAAATAGAGAGTCATTCCTGATTGCCCCGAGTTCCATTAAGTTGATGTGTAGAGGGGTCTTACGAGATGACCACCTGCCCCGAGCAGTGTGTGTCAAGACGTGCTCCCCAAGCACAGAGATACATGTCTTGCTATTACAACTGTCGGGGACAGTTGAGTAAAGGATGGTCCTGTGCAAATGTTGTCAGGGTCTTTCCACCAATTGAGATTAGTCTGTTCAAGCTGTATTTGCTTAGAGAATAAAGAGTTCAGAGTGACCCCTGCAGGCACTGCAAGTGTAACATTGCCTGGCTTATTACAAAAGTATCAGCCGCCACATGCCCCAACAATTGGAGACTGATGTAGGTTTTTGACTGATGTTTGGGGCCTGACTTGAATTGTGGTGACTAAATTCAACAGGGTTATAAACCTGTGCTTTGGGAGGCAGGCTCTGGTTGTTATCACACTGAGGTAAGCTCCTGTGAACTCCAATCTTTGCAATGGGGTCAAAGAGGACTTTTGAATATTTAACTGAAGTCCCAGTTTGAGAAACAGTGATATGGCCTTCTGAGTAGCCAACAAGGTCTTGTAAGAACACCCCTTCAGCAGAATGCCCCAATTGTTGAGATATGGGAATATTAGCATTACTTTTCTGTGAAGGTAGGACTCTTGGCCCTGATTCTTCCAGGCTTCCCCAGCCATGTCCCAGCTCCACCCTGTCTGTCCCTCCTCCAAATCAGGCCAGCTCTCCAAGCCTACACAGGGGTGATGTGCATCTTAGCTATTTATTTTCTGGATTTCAGATGTCTACCTTTCTGTTACTTTCATTCCCACCTCAGATCCCAACTCACATGGAAGGGCAGGGCAAAGGGGTCAGACTTCCCAAGTGGAGCAGGTCCCCTGGTTTCCAGAACACACAGCAGGCAGGGAGAAGGGCTCAGATCCTTCTAGAAGGGTAGGATTCCCCCATATCCCAGCACACAGACAGAAGGGGAGAATTCAGTGCTGACAGTTCCCCCGCATCCCTAAACCCCCATCTTCCCGTGCTACCCCTCACATTCTCCAACCGTTCCTGTTTTAACCCCTCCCCCATACCTGAACTCCCTCCCCTACCACCTATTCCCATTTATCTTCCCCATTATACACCCATCCCTTGCTGCCTACCCCATTACTACCTACCCTTGCATCCCAATCACCCCTTCCCTCCCAGTGGGCATTCACAGTTGTGATAAGGAGGATAGGGAGAAGGACTCAAGCCCACCCAGAACAACAAGCTCTTTGAACCTGGCTCTCGTTGGGGGGGAGGAGAGAGGGGGCTGACTGCCATAGATGGACAGGGAGCCTGGCAAACACAGGACGTCAGGGAGCGGGACTCAGACACCCCTGGAGGGCAGTGATACCCAGACTGCTGTTCACATGAGGAGGTAAGAAGAGGGGATCAGACCAGGCAAACCCCCTTCAGAACCTGGCTATCATAAGGAGGGCAGGGTCACACCCCTGTAGGTGGGTTGCGAGCTCCCAGATCATGGCACACACTTAGGAGAGGAATGTGGGGCTCACAGGCACCTTGCCCCTATTCTCCTCCAGTCCCCTGTCACTCACCCATGTATCCCCTTTTCCAGTGCCCCACCCTCTCCACTCCCACTCCCCATAGTCTCCATCCTGTCCCCATCACCCGATTCCCTAACCCTCTCCCCCATATTCCTTCATCACTCTCCCCTCCCAGCAAGCATTTGCTGTGTAGTTTATTTTCTTTTTAAAAAATGGTTTCAGCACCTTCTGAATGTTCTGCTGTACTCAGATTACATTTCCCCAAACTAAACATCCTCTTTTGATAGAGGTAGAGTGGAGCAACAGGCCTGTTTTTTTTACTTAGATTTCTGTCATAGGTGCCTGGGGTGGTGCTTGGATTAGATGACCATGATATATCTTCAGAACCACCCAGGTACTATGATGTATAGGTAGTTTTCCAGATAGTTAGCCTCTCTCTGTGCACATACTTGACGTACCTAATTGAAGAAACAAACCCCTTTTCAAATAGCATTTTATTTGATTTCCCCCCACACAGCTGGTGGGCACGATGCACTCTGTCAGGGTAACCCTTGAGCATCTGAGTCCCTAGTGCTATGATCTGAGCTCTGGTTTGAACACTATCTGTGAGCAAAAAAAGGTCACCGGAATCTATTAGCTTTAAGAAAAGCTGTTTTTTTCCAAGTGCTATATCTTGACCCTTGGGCAAATGGTGCCAAATGTGGATCACTAGCAGAACCCTGAACTTTCAAAAGGCACAGCAAATGTCAATCTGATTAACTGTATGGGTTTTAAAGCACTTAGAAGAGATGAGCTTTCAACAGAATGCTAATTTCCTCCCAAGCCTTCTCCCTTACAGTCAACAACCCCTTCATATGTAAATCCCTTCAAAAATTCACTTCTCCCATCTCAGCTATTAGAAGTGAGAGGGAAGGAAGATTAACATCACCAGCACCATCAAAAAAATATATCAAGATGCTTTCATGCTTTGCTGAGCAACCCCATTATCTTACTGCCCTTGTCCTCCTCCTCTCCTCCCCCTTCTTCACTGTCTGTCTGTGATCTTCACATATCATGTAATTCAGAATGTATACTCTTTGAGGAGAGATTTGTGTTCTGTGAGGTAGCAACGTTGCTGTAAAAATATTTTATTTTGATGGAACAGTCACACAAGTTATTTTTTATTATTATTAATGTTACAATGTTTCATTTAAATTGCTGCAATTCAATTTGAGATCTTTTGAGTAATGGTTCTTCAAAGCATCTCTCCTCTCTCTCAGGCTACGTCTATACTTACAGCAGCGTGTAGAGTACAGACACTGCATGCCAGGCTAGTACAAGTATAACTAGCAGTATAGATGGTGAGCAGAGTGCCCTACATTTCTGAACCCGCAGGGTATACACTCTACATGGCTCTCTACATGCCCAAGCAATAACTCCCACGTTAGCAGTGTAGTGTCCTGGTGCTGGAACCTTGCCTGGCTCCCTCCCTCCTACCAGAGCTTTTTCTTGCCATAGTGAAAGCACAGAGCTGTCCCTTGGGTAAGGCGAATCGGGGCAACTGCTCCAGGCCCTGCACTTTGGGGGGCCCCATGGCCAGTGTGATTGGCCGGTGCGGTCAGTCCCGGAAGAGACAAGTCTGTCACTTCCAGCCCAGGCCCCACACCTCCCCAAGAACGGCTGTGGTGAAAGGTTCCCGCAGCAGGGAGCTGTGAGAGCCTTTCCCCACTCCCTTCCCCCCACCAGAGCTTTTCCTCACCACAGTGAAAGGCTATGTCAGTGCAGAGCTACCAGAGCCTTTCCCAATGGTGTGAAGTTACCTGAGAAATCCCTGTACTCTGCACACCACTGAAAGGGTAGACAGAGCCTGTAAGACTGAAATGCACAGGTAAAATAAGATAGTGCAAGAAATACTGCATAAAATGTACAGAATAGATGACAGGATATACATTTTTAATATGGAAAGAACTACAGGCGATGGCTTAAAGGTTTTAAGCAAGTCAGAATGCAAATAACTGGAAATGAAATGCAGCTTGGGTTGTTGATTGCTTTCAAAGGTAGCTGGTAAGCCCAATAAATATAAATTGAAGAAAAACAATCTCTGTTAATTCCCATTCCTACCCATACAAGGACCTAATCTCAGTTTCTTTTCAACATTATTCCAGATAAAAGGATTATCATCTTATTTTGAACCGTAGATTCACAGGGAAACAAGGAATTTGTTGCATCCAATTCTAACAATCATGTTTTTAAAACCTACCTTGATTCTTTTATAAATGTAAGTCCTATTTTTATTCAATTTAGTTAAATGCACACATTTGAAATATGAAATATTACTCCCACAAATTATGGTATTTCATCAGAACTATAAACAAAATGCCATAAATAAGTCTGACATTAGAACGGAAGTAATGTCCAAATAGTTACTGTTTAAGGCATGCTACTTTTTATGGTTAAAAAACACATTGTATGTTATAAAGGACTGTTTTTGAGTGCAATACATAGGAATTATCTTAGTTCCCTTGATATTATTGCCTAACAAAATGTAGCATTATTTCTCCAGAGAAAACATTTAGGTTTTTAATTTTGTTTTGCCATTTGAGGGAAATTTTTGAACTTGTCATTTATTTTAAATAAAATGCCCACTACAAAATGTAAAATAAGTGACAGCTTCTACAATTTCCATCAAATGTATGACTGTATTGTACACCACATAAATGTGGTCATAATAATCATCAGTAGGAGCTAAGTCAATACTGCAAAACTAAACCAAAGCAAAAAGATCATAAGGGTTCAACGCAGATTTAAAATGAGTTTGCTTTAGTTGTGTTCACACCCCTTTTGTGTTTCCTTTCTGAAAACGCTGAAAAGATTTTGTCTGGGAAGAATGCTTTGAAAAGCTTTCTCAGGATTCTATGCTGCTGGCTTTTGGGTGGTTTCAGTGAGGGAAGATTCTTTGCAGCCTGTTTAACTGGTTTGGTGTGGACTCAACCTAAGTACCAGCTCAGCTCTTACATTTGCACCTGGGAGCTTTCTTGGTGGTGGTAGTTGGGGTCAAATAATGGCAAAATCTTTTGGCCTTTTGCTTCCCCTTGCAGTGTCAATCTGCCAATTCTGAGGAAAGAGGGGGTGCTGCTCTATGGTGCTTCCCCATGAACTTTCCTCAGAAACCTAGAAGATGATATTTTTGAAGATAGTCATTCTGAGGAGGAAAAACCTCAAAGCCAATGAAGAAAATTAGAAAAATGTCATTTAAAATAGTCCAAAAATTCTATGGAAAGCTTATTACAAAAGGAAATGTGGAGCCAGTGTCTGCACAGGTTTGGAAACAGAGGAAAATTCTTTCTCAGAGCTGGTCCTAAACCCTGGCTCATAACCAAAGATCTAGTTTGCCTCCAGTTGCTAATGGAGGGAAATGCCCCACTATAGAGGCATGTCTGACATGGAGAACACAGAGAAATTGCAATTTCACTTTTGTTTATGGAGTTTCAGGTGATTCAAGTAACACTAACTTTTAGGTCACACTACAGACTAGGTAACTTTTAGGTCACACTAGGACATCACCTGTGAAGAAGAATAAAAGAGAAAGATTGTTTGCATGTATTTGTTCTAAAAAACAAAGAAGTATAAATATCTTGCAGAAACTTATCCTTTTGTTTCAGTTTAACACATACCATTCTATATACCATTTTTCATATTAAGGTAATTTTCCAATTGAAATTATGTGCTTAAAGTAGTAGTAGTCTTTCAATTCCATAAAGTCTGACACTACATTCTGTCAAAAAATATTCCTTCTTCTAAATGTCTACTGCAAAATCTGACTTTAGACCCCAGACAGCAGGAGATCATACACATTTTGTCTTGAACTGTAATTTATTGTATTTCAGTTCACCTGTAAATGGCAGATGCTGGATAAGATCCTGTGTCATAACTGACCCTCACTCGACCACGATACAGCTCCACTGCTATATGATCTCTGTCACCTTTGTACAGCAGGATTCCACTGTCTTCATCTGTGGCAATCTAGTGAAAAAAGAAACACTAATTTATAAGGAAATGAATCCAAATAAACCTGACATGCTAAATGGGTTGCACTCATTCCCATGGCCATTACCAATATTTCTTTCTTTGTTATCAAACTCTGATTGGGATAGTCAGATAATAAAAATCATTTTTTCCTACCAGTTATCCATCAGTTGTGATGCTAATTTCACTGGTGATTCTAGTTCTCTGTAGGTCAGAGGGTCTAAAGTTTTTAACTGACCTAATGACAACTTTTATATGTATGCATTTGTTTTATATGTATGCATTTCTCCCCCATGATACATGATCAGGACACATGCCAACTTGCAGTGATTAATGGTGAAGAAAATGACCATGACTCAAGATCGGTTCTTGCCAATCTACCCCTTCTTACCTGCAGAGTGATGTTGGTCTGAGGGTGGACCTTGCTTGAAGGAATTTGCAAGTAGGATTCTTTGTTCACAAAGTTTATGCTGACCAGCTTTTCGCATTTGTCACCCTGGTAACCTGACAAACACTGACATATCGGTTCATTTACTTTTATGATGCACTGAGCTCCATTCTGACACTCATAGTTATCACAAGGGCTGGTGCGAGGGAGAACCATTGGTGGTGAAAACTCACAAAAAAGGCCACTAAATACAAACACAAAAACCAGTATTTCAGACAAAATCACCCCGTGGTATGATAAAAATATAAATGTTTGTCCTGTCTTCAAGTCTCTCTCACCTGTAACCTTCTGGGCATATACATGTATACCCATTCACTGCATCAGTACACTGTGCTCCATTTTTACACTTGTTGTCTTGACAGTCATCATAGTCAATATTACAGTGTTCTCCTACATATCCAGGTGTGCAATCACATCTATTGAACAGGAAAGTATATTGGTTAGTACTATGCCTGTCTATAAAAACCATATACGTAAGAAAATGCCAGAGATGTAGTATTTTATTAACTGATTCTGAAGTGCAGCACTATTTAGAAAATCAATTTTTTGAGTCACATTTTAATACAATGCACTATTAAAATATAACTTTACATGTGTTAAGAGCCTGTATATATTGATTCATTACATCAGAGATCTACAAACTGAGGGGCGCATCCCTTTAGAGGGCACAGAGGAATGTTCAAGGGGGCACCAGCTCTGCGCCTGGCCCCAGTCCTGGCTGCTTGTCCCGTGCCCCCGTCTGCCGGCCTCGGCTCTGATCCCAGTCCTGCCCCGCCCCTGCCCCCAACTGTGGCCCCAGCCTTGGTCCCTTTACCCTTGTCCATGTTCCCCCACCCTGGAGCAGGGGCCCCGCTCCCGGCTTTTTTTAAGTTCATTGTCCTTATTCTGCTGCTCTCACTCCTTCCTTTCCTTAGAATCATGAAATCTATCATTTCATGTTCACTTTCATCCAAATTGCCTTCCACTTTCAGATTCATTACCAATTCCCCCTGTTGATCAGAAATAAGTCTAAAACGGCTTCCCTCCTGATTACTGCCTTCACTTTCTGAAACAAAAAGTTGGTCCCAAGAACTTACTGGAAATGTTGTGTTTTGCCATATTACTTTTCCAATAGATATCTGGGTAGTTAAAGTCCCCCATTACGACCAGGTCTTATATTTTACCTTTTACATTGTGGTTACTGATTATCTGATATTATATCAAGTACATTCGGTGAAAATCTTAAAGGCCCTCATGAATCAGTCTGACCGGTCTCCTTGGAATATCTGAGTAATGTACATCAACTCAAAATAAGGAAATATGGTAAACTTAGTTGCTGGGAGTCAGAAAAAGAGTCCAAGACTTATGTTCTTGTGCAGAATATTTTCTTTGTCAGTTATTAGACAACAATGAATGATGCAACATTGCATTTACACAGGCATGTTAGAATGATCATAACTGTTTTTTTTTAATTTCTGCTAACAGAATTTAAAAGAACTAACTCTGTTGCCTATGAACCAAAGTGATTGCAGCATGGTTTTTTAATTTTTCTTTAACATAGAAAATAAAAACGGACTTGAAGTGGTGTATTTTCAATACTGTATGCAGGGCTTTGACAATGCAAATATCATCATTAACGTTAATAGGAGTTCTTCAGTTAAAGCCTCACACATTAAGTTGAAGGAGTGCTCAGAATTATTTAGCTCACAGATCAATGGACAAGATTACAAATCCATACGTGCAATAACACAGCTGTCTAAAAGTTAACTATAAGTTCTCTCTTTTTTCTTTTACGAAACACCTAACTACATCAGTCTTTGTGATCACCTCACTGATTTTGCATTCAGTCTCACACTTTTATGCCTACAACTTGTTTAGAAGTACTGAATTTAAATTTAAATGCCCATAACTCTTTAAATTAGGTCCATCAATATAAATTTATCCAAATCTCTCTTAAGTCTTTTATCTGACAAAAAGAAATGAGTAAATAAAGGAAAAAACGAGTATAAAGCACACTATCAAGTTAAAAAGCTGACTGAGATACATGCTCAAAGCTACTGAGTGTGTTATTTTCTGGTTTAAAATCTCAAAATGTAATATGCAAGTGTTATGTCCTATGTAACAAAGTACAAGAGGCAACAATAGTTTTATTGATTGACCAAATGAAAATGAATAAATGAATATAATATAGAACAATGTTCATCAAAATAACTCTTAATATTGTGATCCACTTTCAAATGATCAGCTCCACTGCATGTACATTTGAATATTTCCAAATAAAGTTTGGCTTTTAAAATAACCTGTTATTTAAAATGTGCTAAGAATATCAATTTTAATGGCAAAAGCTGATTTTGAACACTGTAAAATATGGCACATAAAACAGGTTGCTCATGAATGAAAGTTTAAAGCAGCAGATTTCCTAAATCTACTAATCTAAAGTCCATTGCAATACTTTTTAAGAGTGCATACTAATTAATGTTAATAAGGATGTCTTGTAATTAAAGCTTAGTCTTCCTGGTGATGAACTTCCTTATGTTACAATGGCTTCAATGTGTCTTACTAATAACCTGTCTTGTAATTACTACTCACAAAGCAGTACAATAATCCCCCTTTAATTTAACTTAATTATTCTCTTCACAGTCCAACTTTCCAAAAGGATTTTGTGTAGACTGTCACAGAGAATGAAACTCTCCATTCTTCACTGGTCCTATTTAATCCACACTTCTAAAAAACAGTTAATTCACTAGATACTTTTCTAGTTAATACATGGGTGTACATGAAAACAAATGGGTCAGGTTCTGCCATTGATATGTGATCCTGAAGGGGTGGAGTAGAATAAGAGAATGGTAGAAATAGTGTAGTTGAAATATGACAATATTTTATGCTTACTTGTATCCTTTGGGTGTCAGGATGCACTTTGAGTCATGTTGACAAGGGTTCAAGTCTTGGGCACAGAAATCTAGTTTCTCCTCACACAACTCACCTGCAACATAATATACACAGTCAGTTCAGGGGGAATACCACAATGCCCTGACAATGGCAATAGCAACACTTAATATAATCAGCCACTGTGATTTAAATTGTTAATATTGAAAAATTCTATACTTTATAATATGTAAGCAATTGATATATTCTGATTTTTCCTGATATCCTTCAGGAAACAGCTTCTCCAGACCAGTCTCTCCCATTCAGCCAACAGTATAAATGCAATTTCTTGCACTTATAATTAGGGCTGTCAAGCAATTAAAAAAATTAATTGCGATTAATCGCACTGTTAAACAATAAGAGAATAACATCTATTTAAACATTTTTGGATGCTTTCCACTTTTTCAAATATATTGGTTTCAATTACAACACAGAATACAAAGTGTACAGTGCTCACTTTATATTTATTTTTGACTACAAGTATTTGCACTGTAAAAAAACCAAGAAATAGTATTTTTCAATTCACCTAATACAAGTACTGGAGTGTAATCTCTTTATCATGAAAGTTGAACTTACAAATGTAGAATTATGTACAAAAAACTGCACTAAAAAATAAAACAATGTACAATTTTAGAGCCTGCAAGTCTACTCAGCCTACTTCTTGTTCAGCCAATCACTCAGACGAACAAGTGTGTTTACATTTGCAGGAGATAATGTTGTCCACTTCTTGTTTACAATGTCAGCTGACAGTGAGAACAGGCTTTCTTCTCATGGCTGTCTTACAGACGACGTCGCAAGGTATTTATGTGCCAGATGTGTTAAAGATTCATATGACCTTTCATGCTTCAACCACCATTCCAGGAGACATGCGTCCATGCTGACGATGGGTTCTGCTTGATAGCAATCCAAAGGAGTGCAGACCAATGCATGTTTATTTTCATTATCTGAGTCAGATGCCACCAGCAGAAAGCTGATTTTCTTTTTTGGTGATTTGGGTTCTGTAATTTCTGCATTGGAGTGTTGCTCTTTTAAGACTTCTGAAAGCATGCACCACAGCTTGTCTCTCAAATTTTGGAAGGCACTTCAGATTCTTAAACCTTGGGTTGAGTGCTGTAGCTATGTTTAGAAATCTCATATTGGTACATTCTTTGTGTTCTGTGAAATCCGCAGTGAAGGTGTTCTTAAAATGAACAACATGTGCTGGATCATCATCCAAGACTGCTATAACATGAAATAAATGGCAGAATGGCAGGGGACATACAATTCTCCCCCAAGGAGTTCAGTCACAAATTTAACACATTTTTTTTTTTGAATGAGTGTCATCAGCATGGAAGCATTCCTCTGGAATGGTGGCCGAAGCATGAAGGGGCATATAAGAAAGATTAGCATATCTGGCATGTAAATACCTTGCAGTGCCGGCTACAAAAGTGCCATGCCAATGTCTGTTCTCAATTTCTGGTGACACTGTAAATAAGAAGAGGGTAGCATTATCTCCTGTAAATGTAAACAAACTTATTTGTTTTAGCAACTGGCTGAACAAGAAGTAGGACTGAGTGGACTTGTAGGCTCTGAAATTTTATGTTGTTTTGTTTTCGAGTTCAGTTATGTAACAAAAAAAATCTCCATCTGTAAGTTGCACTTTCACAACAAAGACATTGCAATACTGAATTTGTATGATGTGAATTGAAAAATATGATTTCTTTTGTTTATCATTTTTATAGTGAAAATATTTGTAATAAAAATAATATACTTTGATTTCAATTACAACACAGAATACAATGTATATGAAAATGTAGAAAAATATCCAAAATATTTAATATTGGTATTCTATTGTTTAACAGTGCAATTAAAACTATGATGAATCACGATTAATTTTTTTAATTGCAATTAATTTTTTTAAGTTTATTGCATGAGTTAACTGCAATTGAAAGCCCTACTTAAAATATTTTGCACTTTAAAGTAATTACCTACCCATGGAGACTAGGAACACACTACTACCTCTATTTTCTCTCACTGATACAAACAGGCCATCAGCATTCTTTTTTCCCCCTTTCAACATAAGCAAACTACACATAGTGATAGTATATATATATGCATATATAATTAATGGGCATATATCCTGACCATATTGTGCTTAGGGATTCACAAGTCAAGTGGTCCTGTAGATTCCAAGGATTACCCCTCTTGGCATTTGCTCCAGTTAGCAATGGAAGTAGAGTGAGCAGAAGAGAAGCAACACTGGTTACTGAAGGAAGAAAAGGTGAGAAGACTGGGGGTCCCAAACACTCATCCTCACCACTGAAGTGGCCCTTTGCTGTGAGGAAGCAGGAAAGCTGCCATGCAACTGCTTGGACACCACATTCACCCATCAGTGCTTACTGTCTGTTTCCTACAGTGGCTCCATGCAACTGCCACCATACATAGGGAAGTATTACCCAATGGCTTCAGCCTCTTTCCCCAGTTATTAGAGGATGTAAAAATTGATGCAGAAGGACAAAGCCAGAAGGTCAAAGAAGGAGACATGAGGTGAGGAGAGGGACAGTACCATTTGGGACTTTTTTCCCCCCAAAGGGTGAGAGAGTTGGGGAAGGGAGAAAGATGAGAGATGCTAGTGTGGGTTAGAATATACTTTTTGGAAGATTGGTATGGGAAAAGAAGTGTGTGTGTGTGTGTGTGTAATTCCAAATACTGTTGTGCCCTTGATATATCTGATAAAAAAGCAGCTAATTCACATAGTTAATCATTCACTTATTCCTCCTTATAATCATGTGAAACAATCTACAATAATGTTTACAATAAAGATTTTATTTTGTGACTACTTTACAGTAACCACCAGAGAAGCCTTGTTTCTTTATTCAGCATAGTAGTTACTATCATATCTTTTTATGTGGTCAAGGAGTGGGTAATGTTTTGCTGAGCATGTGCCATACTTGTAGAACACTGTGTTTTAGATCTGTCTCTATAAATACTCAAGTCAAGGGATGACATTTTCCAGGCAGCCTGGGGGTTTAGATATATATTCTATTAAGAAACATGGAAGAGGTATAAATGCCTGTGACCATAATCTTTGGCATCTCCAGTCTGATCGGAAGGAGTGAATATGAAGGGGTACAAGCTGAGTGAGTTTCTGAGGTTATACACAGTAACCATTCTTCTTCCCTTCCTATGCTTCTCCAACACATGAGATAGACTTCTAAGCAAGATAATGGAGTGGCTGATACAGGATTTGATTAATGAAGTATTAAAAGGATGGTAACGTAATTAATGCCAATCAACATAGCTTTATAGGAAAATAGAGTCTATCAAACTAACTTGATATCTTTTTTGACGAGATTACGGGTTTGGTTGTTAAAGGCACTAGTACTGACGTAATATACTTAGAGACTTCTGTAAGGTGTTTGACTTGGTATTGTACAACATTCTGATTAAAAAAACTTGAATGATATAAAATTAACATGGCACACATTAAATGGGTGTTTCTCCAATGGGGTACCACGGTGATCTATTCTTGGCCCTATGCCAAATACTTTTTTTTTTAAATTAATGACCTGGGAGAAAACATAAAATCATCACTGACAAAGTTTGCAGATGACACAAAAATAACGACTAGGACAGATCGCTGACTCAGAGGAATCTCGATCTCTTGGTAAACTTGGTGCAAGCAAACGCTACACATTTCAGTATGGCTAAGTGTATACATCTCGTAAAAACGAATGTAGGCCATACTAGCAGGATGGGGGATTCTGTAATGGGAAGCAGTGACTTGGAAAAAGATTTGGGAGTTGTGGCGGATAATCGGCTGAACATGAGCTCCCTATGTGACTGTATGGCCAAAAGAGCGAATGCTATCCTCTGATGCATAAGTGGAAGAATCTTGAGGAGAAGTAGAGTGGTTACTTTACCTCTGTATTTGGCACTAACATGTCTGCTGCTAGAATACTGTGTCTAGTTCTGGTGCCCACAATTCAAGAAGGATGTTGATAAAGTGGAGAGGGTTCAGAGAAGAGCCATGATAATGATTAAAGGATTGGAAAGCTTTATAGTGAAAGACACAAAGAGCTCAATCTATTTAGATTAACAAAGAGAAGGCTAAGGAGTGACATGGTTACAGTCTGTAAGTTCATACATGGGAAACAAATATTTAATAATGGGCTCTTCAATCTACCAATATAGAAAGATATAATACAAGCTGGAAGTTGAAGCTAGATAAATTCAAACGGGAAATAAGGTGTAAATATTTATGTCTGTGCTGTTCTAAAGAAAATATGTCTGAAACATACATGTCTAAAAGGTGGAAAGAAATGGGCACAACACGCTGTTCATAAGCACTAGAGGTGAAGTCAAAACAACCTGTAAAGTATTTTTCAGCCATCTGTTGTAGAAGAGCTTGTTTTTTCAATTCCATGGCAAGTGTTAACTTAATCTATGGTCCAGTCCCAAAGTGGGGTGTTAGTATGCACCCTGGAGATCTGGACTTGCAGCTGAGAAAATTCACACAAATAATATTCAACATATAGCAATGCAGATCCAGACTTGGCCATCAGAAAATCCATACCAAAGCTTTCCAAGGGGGTTTGGTAGCACACTATCAATCTATTAAGACATATTTCCTGTAGAGCTGCACTGTCTTAATGACACAGACTGCCAATTTCATAAAGCCATGTCAAAGTGTACATGAATTAATAATACAAGTCCATGATCTCCTGATAAATGCTACTCAATGGTTCTCAGGGAAATTGCCAATAATAATATTATTTAATCAATATTTACAGGCAACTGAAGAAAGTTCAAACTCAAGCCACTAGGGCTGACTAACCCACAGGACTTGAATTCTGTTCTCAAAGCCTCTTGTCTTGTCTGCCTAAAAAAGAATCCCACAACAATATCAAATACTGACCCTTCTCTTCTGAAGGACTGGTATTCAAATAAATAAACGGTTAAGAGGGAGTAATTCTTCATACACATACAATCAACTTGCAGAACTCACTGATGAAGAAATTACATAGGTAAATAATTTTTTAATATTTAAAGGGTGAAATACATCTTGGTGGAGAATCT